TTCCAGGTGGTTTCGTATAGAATCGTGGTCAGCCCTCAGTTATCCACAGGCAAGTTGTCCTCTCCAAGGATTAGCTCTGGCAAAAAAATTTTTCCAGTTTTATTGAGATATAATTGACATGTAACACTGTATAACTTTAAAAGGTGAAAGATTTATATGATCTGAAGAGAAACCAGAGCGTAGCATTGTATAACTTTAAAGTATACAACATAGTGAATTATATATGTGTATGTGTATTGGTATGTATTACATACAGATATGTGTATGTGTATACATATTGCAAAATGATTACCACAGGAAGGTTAGTTAACATTCATCACCTCACACAGTTAAAAATTATTTCACTGTGATGAGAACTTTTAAGAGCTACTCTCTTAGCAACTTTTAAATATACAATAGAATGTTGTTAGCTGCAGTCACTACGCTGTCTGTTACGTCCCCAGAATTTATCTTATGTTTGGAAGTTTGTACCTTCTGATCACCTTCACCAATTCCCTCACTCTTCCCACCTCTGGCAACCACCAGCCTGATTTCTCTGTCTGTGAGTTAACTTTTTTCCAATTTCATGTATAAGTGGGATCACAGAGATTTGTTTTTTTCTATCTTACTTAGTTCACTTAGCCTAATGCCCTCAAGGTTCACATGTTGTCGCAAATGGCAGAATTTGCCTTCCTTTTTTAATGGCTGGATGGTATTCCATTATGTGTATATTTCATAGTTTCTTTATTTAACACTTGAGTGGTTTCCATGTCTCAGCTATTGTAAGTAATGCTTAACATGAGAGTGCAGATATCTGACAATTTTTAAATCTTGCTCAGACCTTCCTGTCATCCCAGAAAAATGTTGAGAAGATTTGAAAATAATAAAATTTAAAAATTAAAATGGGAAAAATAAACCTTCTTTTAACCCTATTCATCCCCGAGGCAGTGTACCCAGTGGTTAGGATCGTTTATGCCCTAAAGTCAGGTCTCTTTAGTTCCGGACTCTGGCCCAGTTCCAGAAGGAAAGGGGAAGGTAATGGCACATCTACGAGCTCTGATTGATGCCCATGTGGGAATGTTTAGTCCAGTGTCTGCCACACAGTGAGTTCTCAGGAAGATGAGTTACTGTAAATATGCCTGAAGCCGCAAAACTTTTTCACAATCCATACTGTTCCTTCACTGATTGATACAGATTCATGATCACTCTTTTCCACATACATTTATTGAACAAGGACCATGTGCCAAGATACAATAAGAAATATAAAGATAGAAGCACCAGCTTGTGGCCTTGTCAGGGGATGCAGATGTCTCAGGATGCAGGAACGCTGGGGACCCAGGGCAGGCGAGGGCTTCTGGCTGGGGCCTGGGCATGCCTGCCCTGGGGGTTAGGTTGGAGCTGAGCTTTGAGACGGGCAGATTTTCCCACGCAGGGCAAAAGGACAGAGGGGTGAAGGGATGGGACACTCATAGAGCATGACACAGGCCGACCCAGGGCCTATAGTCTCAAGTAGTGGAGTGGAAGAATTTGGAAAGAGCCAACATGATGAGTATTACTTCTTATTTTGGAAAATATTATTTCGAAATATGAATGCAGAAAATGAAGCAGAACAAAATCTTCTTGGCTTGCCGGCCTCCCTTGAAGACAAGGATTCTCTCTGGGGCTGAGAAATGGATTTATGCTTGCTGTTGTAAAAGTCGTGCGTATTGATGGCAAAGCTCCAAACAGCGAGGCCAAGTGCAGAGCAGAGCAGAGGCCCAGCCCGGTTTCCTACCTGTCGCAGGAGGCTGGAGCGGGCCTCCTTATGACTCTTCCCCGGTGTGTTCTGTGCAAATCAAGAAGCCCACGCAGGCGGAAGTTCAGATGTCCCTAGCTGGTTGGGTTGTTTTGCTGACCTTTTCTATTATAAATGTCGCTGCAGTGAAAGACATCTTCTGTAAATACGTATAGGAGGAAAAGTCTCTGCAGTGCAGCTGCCCAGCCCGGGGGTGCACGCGTGTCCTTCGCATGCCTCCTGAGTCTTCTTGTCGCAGCAGGCGGGCTGCGTCCGACGCCCTCCCAGAAGCAGGAGGAGAGTGCAGCTCTCCCGTTACGTCCGGGGAAGGGAAGGCCGCACCTCCCTCTGCAGGCCGCCGCCAGGAAGCCCTCTGGAGTTGCACCTCCAGTGACGTCTGTGTCCCCGGAAGTGTTTCCTCCTAAACAGAACCAAGTGTTTTGTAAATATATGGTTTTCCTCTCTTTTTGACAGGAATCTTCGCCTACATGAACTACAGGGTCCCCCGGACGAGGAAGGAGATTTTCGAGACCCTCATCAGGGGCCTGCAGCGGCTTGAGTACAGGGGCTACGACTCCGCAGGTGGGCCCCGCGGCGCCACACGGGAACGTGGTGCTCATTCATTCAAGAAATTAGAAATGTTCTGTAGGAGAGTAGAAGGGAAAACAAGCCTAAAAGAAATCCCCATCAAAAGCTCCCGCATCCACATCTGTGTCCTTCCTCTGCACTTTTGTGGGTATTTTGGGGTGGCCTGGGGTTTGGGGACAGGTAGAGGTGTCGTGCCGACATTTTTAACTTTTACCTGATTATAATTATGCAATTCTGCAATTGTGTCTTCTTCTTTTACTTACCTGATCATTTTCCATCATCGTAAACTCTTCCTGGAAGACTGTCGCAGAGTTTACTCCTCTATCCAAATAACAGGTGGATATTTGGTCTGTTTCCCATTTTTTAAATCACATTCATTTTTATCACTTTCATTCATATAATAAAGTCAACATAGGAGAAGCATATAAAACCTTGTCCTTTTCATCAGGTTCCTGTGCATCCATTTTGCACAGAAAAGAAACAATATAAAGTTAACTCCAGGCTCTGTGTCAGCTTCCGGATTGGAACTAATTAATGCACACTAAGGAACAGCTGATGATCTGGGCTAGACTGTTTGATTTTGTTATTGATAATATCGTGGGTTTTATTTTCTGGACGAAAAATGAATACTAAGTGATGAATAAATGAATACTGAATGAATACTTCAAGAGCTTCAGATTTCCAGAGATCCTGGCACACCACCTACTTTTCTATTTATTTCCCATTTTTAATTAAGCCGCCTTAGGAGAAAAGGGAGAGCCAGATAATTTTATATCCCTGTTAATTCTTAACAGAAAGTAAGTTAGATGAAAGATTGCAGGAACACTAGTGCAATGGGAGTACCAGCTAAAGTAGCAGAATCCAGAGTGCACAGGTGCCCTCAAATGAGCCCACTGCCTTGGTGGCACTTCCCCCACAGTTCCTGAGCATTACCTGGGTTAGAAGCCAGGCAAGGCAGCCACAGCCTGGGTTCCAGGTACGTGGTCCCCACTTGCCAGTGAGCATTGCCACGGTCACAGCCTCTTCTTTCCAAGTCAATATCCTGAACACAGTCTAGTTCTCTTCCGGGCAGCAAACCTGGGGAAAAAGAACTAATACATTGACAGCTCTGTGTGGCCCTCACCCTGCATCACATCCTGTAATGAAGCATGGGAGACAAAACTTAAATTCCAGAACAAAAAATCATGTTTATATTTACAATAGCCAAGACATGGAAACAACCTAAATGTCCATCGACAGATGACTGGATAAAGAAGTTGCTGTATATTTATGTAATGGAATACTATTCAGCCATAAAAAGAACAAAATGTCATTCGCAGCAACTGGGATGGCCCTGGAGAATGTCATTCTAAGTGAAGTAAGCCAGAAAGAGAAAGACAAATACCATATGATATCACTTTTATGTGGAATCTTTAAAAAAAATTAACTTATTTACAAAATAGAAACAGATTCACAGACATAGAATACAGACTTGTGGTTGGTAGGGGTGTGGGAAGGGATAGACTGGGAGTTCGAGATTTGTAGATACTAGCTAATATATATAAAATAGATAAACAGGTTTATGCTGTATAGCACAGGGAAATACTCAATATTTTGTAATAGCTTATGGTGAAAAAGAATAAGAAAATGAATATATGCACATTCATGTATGACTGAAGCCTTGTGCTGTGCACCAGAAATTGACACAACATTATAAACTGACTGTATACCTCAATTTAAAAAATGCATGAATTATGCAAAAATGTCAAGATTTTTATTCTTATTGAAAATACTGTGAACGTATATGTGTATGTTTATCTTCATGTTTAGATGCGTGCTGCATTTATTAATTCATTTTATATCATTAAAATATTTAATTTTATTGCTAATAAAAGAATCATGTTTACATTACAGGTGTGGCAATCGATGGAAATAATAATGAAGTCAAAGAAAGACACATCCAGCTAGTCAAGAAAAGAGGAAATGTCAAGGCTCTTGATGAAGAACTTTACAGTAAGTGGAAGACACACCAACTTAGAGCGATAAATACACCCAGACTGGGTCACTTTAAAATCTTTCGTTCCAACAGCATTTGAGACTAAAAACATTAAGTTACCTGAGTGTGGAAAAATAGGAAGAGGGCTATGTCCTTGTTGGAAAACTGCTTCCCAGAGTGTGGGATGGTTTATTTCAGGTGATGGTCTGCTGGGAATTTTTTTTCAATACTTAGTACTTACGTATTTATTTTAATTTTTCTGGTAAATGATGCTACTTCTCCATTTATAGTAGGGGTCTATAATTCTTTCTTTAAAGTGAGTTTCAGTGACGTGAGTTAGGTTACTGATAAGTGCTATGTAACAGCAAGGGGCTGGCAGAAATCCCAGGATGGGACCTCTGCGGTCAGTGGTGGGGCATACTTTTGGTGTGGTGTGTGTCTCTGTGTAATGATGCCTCCTTATGTAACAGCACCACGTCAATGCTTATTTTTACAGTGTGGCAAACCGATTTTTCTTTTCATCTAGAACAAGACAGCATGGACTTAAAAGTGGAGTTTGAAACCCACTTCGGCATTGCCCACACGCGCTGGGCCACCCACGGGGTCCCCAATGCTGTCAACAGCCATCCACAGCGCTCAGACAAAGGCAATGGTACGTGGTATAGCCTTGCTCCCCTGGTTCTGCCTGGCCCTGCCCTGTGGGTCCTCACCCACCACCCGCCGGCTTCTCAGCAGCCCTATCGTCCCTGAAGGTCCAAACGGGTGGCGCGGAGCCCCAGCCAGGAGGCAGATTCGGCCTGGCCCTCGGGTGGAGCTGACTCCCCCAGGCATCCAGGGGAAAACAGTGACACCTCCACAGAGTGCTCCTGGCTTTGGGGACCCGGCCCGAGTGGGACTTGGTGGCGTGAAGAGCTGAAGGCCTGGGCTATGTTCCTCAACCAGGGGCCAGAGTGTTCCAAAGGGCTGGGTGCTGGAGGAAAGGATGGGGTTCCCTTCTCATCCAGCTCTACCCGCCCCTGCCCCTGAAGAGAGTGGTCCTGAGCCAGGGCAGGTGGGCGTGCTCACCTTCTCTAACACCTGCGGTGCCCGCTGCACCCCTGGTCCCTGCGGCAAGGGCTCCCCTGTTCTTCCAGCGGGCCCCTCATGCCAGCCCAGCTCATGGGTCCACATCACTCACCTGAGGCCCCAGGACAGTTCTCCATGCAGTGCTTCCTTAAATTTCACCCCGCCCTCTCTCATGGAGGAGGGACTGATAAGTCTGGAGCTCCCACTGGCAGCTCTCGGGGACTCTGTGGTCAGCCCCCAGGGGCGTCGGGGCCTCCGGCGACAGGACACAGTGGGCGTGCTGATGGAGAGAGAGCGTAATCCCTGACTCCTCCCGGGGCTGCTGGGGCAGGCAAGGGTCTAAGATACAATGTGTGCCTTCCAGTGGGTCTCCACTCTGGGTTGGGCTCAGTCAAGCTAGAAGCCCCCATGACCCACACCTGGGCAGATGGGAGAGGGTGTCTGGTGGAGAGAATGATGTCTGGAGTCAGCCAGGAGCCCCACCCCAAGCTGCCTTCTGAACTTGGCATAGCACGAGTTCTTGCCAAGCCTCGTGTTAGGTTAGGGAGCAGACACATAAGAGCGGTTGTGGGGTGTTTATTATTAGCTAAGCACTCGACAAGTGTCAGTGCTCTTAATTGTCATGGAAGTCTGGCCACAGGAGAGAGTGGCACCTTCCTGGTCAGAGCCCTTTGCCCTGAGGACACTGAGGTGCCCTGAGACAGCTCACCCTGCCTGACTTGGAAGGGAAAACCTCCCCTGGAGAACAGGAGAGCCCCGTTCACCCCTCTCAGCAGAGCAGCCGGAGCTGGCACAGTGGCCGGGCTGCAGGTATGTCCACGTGCTCAGAGTCTTGGGTGGTGAGGGTTTTTTTTCGCTGGGGACTATTCCTTGCATCTGGTCTATGCCCTGAGCCATAGGGCAGCCCGTTCCAGGGGCAGGCCCTCTGCACCCAGGGTGGGAGGCAGCAGACTCCACACTGCTGAAGACCTAGAGCCAAGCCCAAGCCAGACGCAGAGGCTGGTCCCTGCGATCACATGCCCTGGGATGCCGCCGCCCCCGCCCCCGCCTCCTGCCCACCCAGGTGATCAGGTGAACCCCTACTTCATTGCAGATGATGATTCCCCAAAGTGGGGATCCCCCCACACCCAACCTTGGAAACGCCTGCCCTGACTCAGGATGAGTAATTGAAAAGAAAACGAAGTGGGAAATGAGAAAAGATTTGTGCAATTTCTTTAGCAACTCATCCCTGATAGCGGAAGAGCATACTTTTAAGGAAGACGTACACCCAGCAACTGCATTGCGTTAGAAAATTAGACGAAGACGTTTTCACAAAGAAAAGGCAGATGCTAGGAAACGAATTAGTGATGAGAAGTTCAGACAATACACTGAGATGAAAGAAAATGTGACAGGGTTAAGGCTATAGTGTGAAACAGTGTCACCATAGGTACGAAAAAAATTGGAGAAGGTGGATATGGAGACAGTTAATAGATAACAAAGTGTCAACCGTCCCATTTGACAGAAATAACGAAGCCTATCTGACGATGCTGCAGCCCAGAGCTCCGTGCCTGGCTTGGTTGGTGGATGCTTTTTATCAAAAGAGAAACGTGTTATTTCTTCAAGTTTAAATTGTAGTCATAGCAGGTGTCAGTTCTAATCTCTGTGAATGAAGTTTGCTCAACACGAGTGTCCGTATGAGCAGAGTTTGTAGAGTTTCAAGCTGTCAAGTTGTCTTTCTGGACATCTGACTTGAGCCTCACTTCTTCATGACGTTTGTCTCCTGACTAAACTTTACTTCCAGAGTTCGTCGTCATCCATAACGGGATCATCACAAATTACAAAGACCTGAGGAAGTTTCTGGTAAGATGCTTCCCCTGGGTGACAGCTAAGTCCAGTGGTATCGGTCTTTCCCCGAAATTTTCCAACCAGCTCATTTCCCTCTGGAAAAAAAGGCAGGGGCTTATTGAGACCCACGCTTGGCCACGTCACCGCATTGGACACAAACCTCATCCCCAGCCCAGCTGCCTCCCCAGATCTTGCTGGAGGAGAGAGCAGGGCATTCTCGTTTACATCATCAGCTGCTGCAGATTCACAGCAGAATCAAAAGAACATAAACTCCCTTGTATTGAAGTAACTGCACTAAATAATGTGTCGACTCATACGCCAACTGGAACGCGGGGTGGGAAGGCAGACGGCGAGTGTTTGAAGTAGGAAGAGGTTGCGGTGTTGGTTGGGATGTGGGTGGACTGACTCAACAGATTTGGTCATTTTGATCGCTGGTATTTTGCAATGTCCAGATTAACAGCAAGGACAGGCTTCGGAGGCGGGCTGATCTCAGGGAGGCCTGGGATGACTCAGCCGTGTTGGGCTGTGTGATTCTGGCAAACATTTCTTATCCCTTCCCCGTTTTCCTTGTTCTCGCCTCAAGTCACTCCAAGGACAAGTCATGAGGGAGGAGAGGGAGCTGGCCAGGCCGCCATTGCACAATGACCATTATCTGACACTGTGTCCAACCAAATATTCCAGGAAAGCAAAGGCTATGAGTTTGAGTCAGAAACAGATACGGAGACCATCGCCAAGCTGATTAAATACGTGTTCGACAACAGAGAAACGGAGGACATTACGTTTTCCACGCTGGTCGAGAGAGTCATCCAGCAGCTGGTGAGTTACAGACCCCACCTGTCTAAATCACCCTTTCATCCCTTCAGCTTTCATAAGTGTTTATTAGGCAAACTTATGCCGAGTGCCTGAGGACTGAAGATGGCTCATCTCAGTATCTGGCCTTGAAGCGTTCAGAGAATTGGGAGGAGCTCTGAGGTTTGGTAGCAAACGAATAGGAAGCGTTTTGCTTTGTTTTAGCACCTCTGGAATGGTGACAGCCCCCCCGCTCTGTGACTCCTGACAAGGATGCGCTGCACAGGGGATCTTGGCCGTGGTGGGCCGTGGTGCCATCTTGTCAGCTGAGTTGTGTGCGTTGTTAGTCACACGCCCAGGAAGGACTGATCTGATGCTGGGGACAGTTGCCATCTTGCCTACTGTTTCAGTGAAGCAGTTTTCCGTCATGGGGGAGAAAGGCCCCCAGGTCCTTACTGCATGGGGCTGGGAGGAAGCAAAGACAGCAGGTGTGGACTTTTGAGAAGATCGGTTATGGAGGAAGAATGGTGCAAAGAAATGGCCCCGTGGAGGGAAAGGGCTGCAGTCCTGAGGGAGGATTGGGTTTCTGTGATAGAGCATGTCTGTGTGCTGAAAGGAACGATCCAGGAGGGAAGGAGGTTGGTGATGTCCCAGCGGGCTGGACCCATGGAGCAAAGTCCCTGGGAAGGGGCGCATGGTGGGGGCGGCGGACTGTCCAAGAGAGGCCCTCCTTGGAGGAGGAGGTAGAGCAGACCTAGGCCCCCTGTGAGACGGCGGAGAGAGGAGGAAACGGCTCCAGACTCCTAGAGCCCATCCTTCCGAGCATCAGTGCCACCCAGTAGCTCCTCTGAGATGGGGCACCTCGGAGACAGTGTTCAGGACCGAGAACCTGGAATATCTAGAGTCAGAGACTGCTGCAGGTACAACACTGTGGTTTAAAATGTGTGATCCTTTGGCGTTTTCTTAAAAGTAAGTCTACTGTCGAACCCTTTGTCTTATGACTCCCATTTTGGGGGTCTTAATTTAGAGGACGTATTTACAAATAAGAACTAGTCCCATAAGTAATGTACAGTCTAAGATACTGTGTAATGTACAGTAAACAGTTTAGTTTCGCAGCACATTAACTCCTCTTTCCCACCTATAATTTAAAATTTTGAAAATGCCTCTCGGTGGTGGCACTTTCAAACTTCAGCCACCTACCTGAAACAACACAGAGCTCTTTTTGGCAGAGAACTTTTTTCTAGTCAGTCCTACTTCATTGTTGATAAAACCAGCAGGTGGACGTCAGGTGTCTCAGGTTCACGTTGGGCAGTTTGAAAGGCCCTGAGAGGTCTGGAGATGCTGACCCTGGGGTCTCTCTGGCTGTGTGACTGAGTTGGCAAACTGGCCATAGCACACTGAGGCCTTGGGTCTGCCCGGGGTTCCAAACCTTGAAGGACTTCACACAGAAATTCAGATTTACCGCTGTCTGTATAAAGTCAAGTAGGGTCGTGGTAAATTAGTACGGGATGGTCAGAATGCAGGAAAGAATTTTGCATCAAGGTTTTAAATAGAAAGAGCATTTAGAGTCTTGAGTTAGGAAAACTAGATTCTAATTCTGGTTTGCACGGACTGCCAAGCTGAAGCACAGAGCACAAATGGCAGTCATTGCCACAGAAATAATAATAATGACACTGTTGGGTCTCTATGTGGCAGGCACTGTTCTAAGCACTTACAGTGCATTAGCTCACAGAAGCCATTTCCATTCACCAGGAGGCACAAAGAAGGCTGCGCGATTGCCCAGTTGTGGGGTGGAGGCAGGATTTGATCCCAGACTCTGAGTGTGCTGAGCTAAATGTAGGTCACAGATTAGTCCCTTCAATCCTCACAATTGCTCCCTGAGTAGGTACTGTCCCCGAGGCCCAGGTTCCTCTTTCCTGAGGCTCTAACAGCAGCAGTCCACCCAGGTCATCCCAGAGCTGGGAACTGTTCCTCACGGCCCCGGGCGGGCTGCTAATACATTGCTCACAGTGAAATCTGCAAGTTCCTGTCTTGGTACCTGAGCGTGATCTGTTTCGCTTTCCCCTCCTGACATCACCCTGGATGAGCTGCGCTCAGCACCCTGCGTGAGTGACCCCAGGACTGCCTGCAGCGTAGAGGGGCCCAGGGGGCGCTGTCGGGGGTGTGGGCCAGGCTGCAGCAGTCTGGCCCGGCCAGAGAAGGTTGTTCCTTGTTCCTCACTCTTCTTTCCCATCTTTTCAGGAAGGCGCGTTCGCGTTGGTTTTCAAGAGCATCCACTACCCCGGAGAAGCCGTGGCCACAAGGTGAGCCAGAACGCACTGACATTTCCAGTAACAAATAAATACAATAAAACCGCTCAATTTGAGGCACGAGGGAGGAGCAGGGCCTCTGGCAGACTGGAAGGTGCTCCTTCTATGTAAGGGACAACTGTGCTCCCTCTATGTTAGTGACAGAGAAAGTACCCCACCATCTCTGTGGCCAGAACTTCTGATTTTTTAAAGAAAAACCAGAAAGTTGGATTTTTATCTGAAATCTCCAGATTTTTAGAAACTGACAAGTTCAAATTAGAAATAAAATTGTATAGCAAAGGCAGATACAGGTTTCAGGTCAACAACAGAGATTCCCTTGCAAAAAAGCATGCAAGATTATGAACATGAAACTGGGAACAGAAGTGAATGTTGATTTGAATCAACATTGCAGGCCAAGAGCTCAAGGTTCGTCACCTTCATGCCAGGAGTGACCCAGGAGTCAGCTGAGAGGTCCTGGGTCGGCCCACATGGCCCTCTGTTGAAGCCCCTCTGCCCCCAGCGCTGTGCTGCTTTACACAAGCGGGCATGCAAGTGCCGTCCTATTATTTTATATTCAGATGGGTAGATTATTCACCCATCTGTCCATCTGTCCATCCACCCATGTGCCCACCCATCCATTTGCCTATCCACCCATTTATCTGTCTATCTGTCTATCCATCATTCTGACCGTCTATCTACCCATCTGTCCGTCCATTCATTCATCCATCCATTGAACTAATATTTGTTTAGCACTTACTCTGTGTTGGGCCCTGGGACCCTAGTGACACCCAACCTGGTCCCACCCTGAAGGTGGCTGTGTAATTGTGTAAGAGGCCAGAGCAGGGCAGAGGATGGTGATGCTCTGTAATGAGGACTGGAAGGCAGTGCATCGGGGACCTGAGGGGAGCAGGTGTCAGCCTGAGAAAGGCAGGCGGAGAATCCAGCACGAGCAAAAGCAAGGAGTCCAAAGCGAGCGTGGCACTGTACGGATCTGCACTTAGGCCAGGATGGGGGTGGGAAAGGGCACTGGTGGGACCTGAGGCTCTTCTAGTCTCAGTGTGTGCTTACTGACACCCTCTGTGCACCACGCATGGGTGACAGCAGCGAACAATGTTGTGTGGACACTGCCCCGTGAAGCTCAAGGCCATGCACCTGTGGCCTTGGGAGACTGGGCCAGAGAGGGTGGACCGTCCCTCACAGACTGTCACAGTAGCCAGGAAGGAAATTTTGTGTTTGTTTGTTTTTTGGGAAGGGGAGGTGATTAGGTTTATTTACTTATTTATTTTTAGAGGAGGTACTGGGGATTGAACCCAGGACCTTGTGCATGCTAAGCATGTACTCTACCGCTTGAGCTATACCCTCCCCCTTAGGAAGGAAATTTTGTGAATGTATTATGATTTTTTTTTTCTAGGACAGGAACTGATTTACCATTTGGAATTTAAGGTTTTTAAGTCATAGAATTATAAAATACCGGTTTGTCCCTATCAAATTTTGATAATAATGTGTCCATGTTGGTTCATCGATTGTACCAAACACGCCCCACTGATGAGGGCTGCTGAGGGTGGGGGAGTACACATGTGTGGGTAGGGAGGGCGCTGTGCGAACTCTGTATTTTCTGCTCAATTCTGCTGTGAACCTGAAACTGCTCTAGAAAAACAAAGTCTATAAATTAAGAAAAAAATTTGAAACCCCTTTTAAAATGTGATATTGTCATAGTACTATTTCCAGTTCAGAAGAAAGTAGAGTGAAGAAACAATAAAGCTTTGTCTTTCTATTTGTCCGTCATTGGTGGCTCTTAACCTCTGGGACACCCTTTGGCATGTCTTGGGAGCACTTTGCCCCGGGGAGAGGGCTCGGTGCGGGGACCCGTCCTGACAGAGGGGTGTGCCAGGACGTCCAGCCCACCCAGGCTGGCACGGCGATGGGTGACTCGGTTCCCTCTCACCCCTGCAGGAGAGGCAGCCCCCTGCTCATTGGAGTGCGGAGCAAATACAAACTCTCTACAGAGCAGATCCCCGTGCTGTACAGGACACGTGAGTTTCCTCAGAAGGGCTTGAACAGCACTGCATTGTCCCGGAGCCAGCAGCTCCCCTCGGAGGCAGGGTGCCCCGGGGAGCTTGCACGTGGCTCCAGGTCAAAAAGGTTTTCAGGCAACTGAGAACTGGCTCCATTTTTCCCATTTTTTATTATGGGTGTTTTCAAACACACGCACAAGCCGAGGGAGCAGCATGTGGTTGTGTTACATAAAGGCGCCCGGGCCCTGATTTCGGCGTTGACTTGGTTTGTTTTGTTTGCAACCGATTCAGCGCTCTTGCTATTTGGGAGTCTTTTCCGCAATTTGGCTGACGCGGCCAAAGCTAAAAATGGCGAATCTCTCCCACACATATTCAGAGGGGAAATTGGCTCCTTCATGTTATTCAGACGAAAATAGTTTGACGGGATTCATGCTGCTTTCCCTTCTTTGCCAGGCAATATTGAGAATGTTAAGAATATCTGTAAAACAAGGATGAAGAGACTGGACAGTTCCACCTGCCTTCACGCCGTGGGTGACAAAGCAGTGGAATTCTTCTTTGCTTCTGATGCAAGGTAGCCGTGTATACCTTGCTTCCTTTCTTTCCTAGGATGATGTAATCAAGGATGGCCGGCTGAGCACTCCCGTTTACTAGTTATCCCCCCATTTGGGCTGTTTTCTCAAGGCTCAGCGAGGGGCAGAGGCGATGGCAGATCTCAGCTGTCATCAGTGACCCTCCTGAGGAATCTTTGCTCAGTGAACACCTGCATGGCTGATACTGGCAGCCCTGGTGGCCAAAGGCGAGGTCCACTGACCTACACAATGTTTTGGGCCAGCACAGAATAATTGAATTAGTTGCCAGCATTTTATAGTTGGGAGGTTTCTCATAAAAATCTGGATTTCTAGCTTCTCTGGAAAACCAGCAGATCTGAGCACTGCGGAGTGTGCTCCCTCCAGCCCTGGTGGGGGCCTTTCAAAGGCTGCTCCTTTTAAGCAGGACATTTAGTCCTTTGTGAACCTGACCTGCGTTTGCCAGAGTCTTACCATTTATAAAAGACAGAGCTAAGATTTCGGGTTTTGGTTCAGTTGATTCCAAATTCCATGTTCTCATCAATACACAGACAGTAATTCTGAAATTTGAGAACGTCAACTTCATGCTCAAATTAATACAAAAAATGTGTACCTGCACATACACTCAGAAAAGACCAAAACACTTTCTTGCTGTTTGAAATAGAAAACCACTGTAAACTCCAGGACTACTGTCTCCTCTGTCCAGGCCTTTATTATGCCTCTTTCCCGCCAGCCTTGCCGTGAAGCAGAGGGGTCACCAGGCGAGGTCTCCTGGGACACACAGAGTAACAGGAACCTACAGCCCAGGCTGCAAGTCCGGTTCCGCCCACAGCCAGCACTGCAGCACAGAAGCACTCATGGCTGATGTAAAGGGCCGCATTTCATTGATTGTGTTCCTTAGAGCACCATTTCGATGAGAAATGTGTACTATTTCAATGATTCTAAGACACAGAATTATTTTATAGATTTTTTTTTTAGCATCTGGCATCTTGGCATTATAATTTGCTACGGTTTTAATTTCTTTGAAGTATATAAAATAATCATGATCTTAAGATCAAGGTTACCTTATATTCTATGAAATATGGTAGATGTTTCTCCAAAAAAAGAGGAATAAATGCCTGAAAGGAGATTAAAGAATTATTTGTAGGCCATATGATAATATACTTTAAAAAGCCACCGGGAAGGCTGTTAGAAGTGATACCTATGGCTGGTCAGAGAGGAAAAGTGTGGAAATGTCAGCATCCCAGGAGCACTGCCAAGAGGCCGGCTCAGTGGGGAGGGTGGAGGGGAGTCCATCCCCCCTTTCCCCTTGACATGTGCTCAAGTGACCAGCATAGTAGGCGCCCAGCAAACCTGTGTTGAACAAAAAGAGTCATCTGTTTACGACAGCTGGGAAAAAGAACACTTTAATCCCTTAAAGTAGATTTTAATAAAAACAGTCCCAAACCAGCTTGGAGAAGACTGCAAAAGCTTACCCTGAGAAACAGGAAGAAATCTGAGTACAGGGAGAGTTTCCACATTCCTCGGTAGGAAGGCTGAATGTTATTATTAAAACACAAAATGATTTAAAGTTAATTTAATTATTAAAACTTATTTTAAAAGATACTGACTCCCCGTAAATTAATCTGCAGATGAGATGCTATAATTAAAATCCTCCACATTCTTTTGTCTGCTTAGGTTTTTGGAACTTAAAAAAGTGATTCTGCAATGTGTTGTGTATTGATGAAGAAGCACGTATTGAAAAATAAGAGTGAAGAAAGGTGACCCTCCCAGATAGGAAGGCACACTGCAGGGTTCTCATGACAACCGTGGCCAGGACGCGCTGTGGGCCCTTATGGTGGGACACTGTGCTGAGGGCCTCACCAAGACTGCCCCCATTTAATAATTACAAATCTCCGGTGAAGGCACAGCGATCATCTCCCGTTTTAAAACTGGAGAACCTGAGACAGGCTCACAGGGTGGTGTCTGTGCTGCCCGAGGGCGCAGGGCTGATGAGAAACAGGGATGAGGATTCCACCTCGGGTCTAACTCCTGGGCCAGTAGTCTCAGTGACTACCGTCCATTTTGTAAACTAAAATAATTATAGTTAAACGTGCAGCTATACGTGTACACGTAAATTCAAACACACATGTCGTAAGCACTGTCTGAAGGACAGCACAGTGCAGCATTTCTCCCCTGGAGACTGGGTCAGGCCCTTTTCACTTCCTCCTCTTGATACCTGTGTTTCCTACTTTTTGTACAAAGAGTGTATATTGTTCAAAATATTTTTTTCCCGGTGCCATGGAGTTCCCCCCTTTTCATCCTTCTTCCCTAGGGTCTGGAGATACATCTCTTGAGGTCATAGAACTTGATTGTTCCTCTTTTTAACTTTGCATCCGGAGTTTTAAATGTGCGTTTTCTGCACGGGGCACATTTGGGTCTGGCGCTTGGTACATGAGGGTTTTTTCCTCCTGAGGTCCTTCGAGTACCAGCTTCACGGTTTTTACCATATCTGTGTAACACCTGAGCGACTGAGTACCTAGTTTGCTTTTTCACTTACCAACTTTTCTAGCTTTGTTTTTGAAAGAAACGTTCTGTTTCATCTCAAGGGAAAAATCAGTATTACTTTCCGTGCAGAGAAAGTTACTATGAAAATAAACATAATGACCCCACATTTCATTAGTGGATAGACCTCACGGTTGGCTTTTAAGTCCCTCCTTTCTCCTTCCTCTGTGGGTGTAAGAAGCAGTCGTTCATCCTAGTGAGTTTCCCACTGTGTGGCTTTCCTTGAGTGCCTCCCCCACGGTGTCAGGTAACGTGCTCTTCTGTTGACCTTGTTTCCTGCAGACAGGAGTTTACAGGTGTCTAGGAGCTTGATATTCAGGTTTGGCTGTTTCGGCAAGACTCACTTCATAGCTGTAGTGTGTCCTTCCATCAGGAGGCACTATGTCTCATTGTCTTCTTGTGCTGGTCAAGTTGATCGGGGGTTCAGGTTTCACCAGCCTTATGCAGCCACCATAAAGCTGCTCTCGGCTTTTCATCTCTTGGTTTCAGTAGCCATTGGTGGACCTTGATTAGGGCTTTTAATGGTTCGGAGTTCATAAGTCGATTGCTGTAATTTTATCATTCCTTCTCCGTGAGCTGTACTCCTCCTATAAAGAGAAACTTGCCTTCTTAAACTATGTGGTTATTCTGAAAGACAGATCATTGGGAATGGCAGATGAATGTTTCATTCTTTCCCTTTGTGATTCAGAGTCGTGTGCTGGTTCCCAAGCATCCTCCAAAGGTGTTTGCATCCTGATGAAGAAAGCAATTGTAAATGAACCTATGTGAGATTGTTGGGGAAATTTGAACATCCTGGATAACTGATGATATGAAGGAGTAACTATTATTCTTGGGTGTGATAATGGCATTATAGTAGGTTAAAAAATAACCCTTATCTTTTAGAGCTATCAGTCAAAAGGCTTGCAGATGATGTGATGTCCGGGACTGGCTTCAGAATAATTCTGTAGGGAAGGGAGGGGAGGGAAGCATGAATTGATGTTCATATGCCATATCCTAAGATGCCATCCAGCTGATAGGGACCCACACTTGGAGAGCAGTGAGTAACTGCCACCTTGTAACTGTCAAGGGCAAGCCCCTCTCTGATGCCATGTGCTCCTTGCTCTAGCGCTATCATAGAGCACACCAACCGGGTTGTCTTCCTGGAGGATGATGACATCGCTGCAGTGGCTGATGGGAAGCTCTCTATTCATCGGGTCAAGCGTTCGGCTAGTGATGACCCATCTCGAGCCATCCAGACCTTGCAGATGGAATTGCAGCAAATCATGAAAGGCAAGTGTCCTCTGAGGGTCCCTGTACAGTAGCCACGGGGGCAGATGCTCTGTGGGGGAGCTCCTGAGACTCCCTGCCCTGTCCTGAGTGTGCACCATGGCCTTCCTGCCCGCTGTGGGGCTGCTGGTTCTGTGGTTCGTACTGCTCAGGGGATGTGGGGCGCCTGGCCTGGCTCCTCCAAAGGGAGCTCCTGGCGGTGTCCAGGAACCAGGTCTCCCTGCTTGATCTGACCTCAGTCCCTCAGTTACCTCCCATTGCGGATTCCCTGGGACACATTCCTACACCAAAGGCATCGTTTCTGCTCTGGACGGGAGGCCTACAGTAACAGGGGGCTGTGAACTCCTTTCTTCTTGCTGAGAGAGTATGTCTTCCTGCACCCTCTTCCCCACAGGGCAGCCTGGGTGAACTTCTCAGAATGTGAATCATACCTTCTTATCCTGCTGCTTAAAGGCCTCCAGTGGCTTCCCACTGTGCTTGGAATAAAACCCGCGCTCTCTGCCACAGCCCACAAGCCCCCACACCCAGCCCGCCCCGCCTCTTTCGGCCTCTCCCCACTGCCTCTCTCCGGCTCCACCCTGCCTGCCTCTCTGTTACTCAGACAGGCCGAGTGCTTGCTCACCTGGCTGGGGGGCTGGGGGGCGGAGGGGTCTCTGCACCTGCTCTGCTTCTCCCAGGACTGGCTCCTTCTGAACATCTCCCCTGAAATGTCGCCCCCTCAGAGAGCCCTTCCCTGGCCCTGTATCTGCAGTGGCCCCACCCCCTCCTCTCTTGCTCTGTTTGCTTCATGGCACTTTTTCTACAAGTCCTCTGTCAAGGACGGCAGACAGAGACACTGCAGTGCTTGGCATCATGCACATGTGTATCGCAGAGCGCAGTCCCGCCCTGTCCGTGGTCACCTCCAAGACATCGGGCGCAGCACCTGCCAGGGTCTCCACATGCTGTGGCCAGATCATCCCTTTGACATCATCCAGTTTCATGCAGATCAGGGCCCTGGCGCGTGTGGCTGGAAAGATTTTTGTTGTTCTTTGGTGTGTGTGTGTGTGTGTGTGTGTGTGTGTGTGTGTGTGTGTGAAATACAGAGGCTAGGAGGGTATTTTTTTTAATTGCCTGTTTCCCTGGACTTGCTTAATTTTGTGCTTCCCTGAGTAAGTGGGTGTGAGGAAGCAAGGCGTTTTACTTTCTTTGGACTTGCTACACGGAGTACAGCCCAGGCAGGCCAGGGACGCCTTGGTACTTACCTCCCTCGCTCCCTCAAGCTGCAGGGTTTATATGTACATTGAAGACAGTGACCACACCTGGTCCGACTTGTCGTCACGCGTATCAAGGGGGGACGGTACCTGGGGACACCTTTTGTCATCTGCAGTGGCCTTTACATGTGACTGACTGCATCATGACCTCATCCTGACTGAGCGTCAAGCAGTGGAAATGTAGCAGAATTAGGTTGGATTCATCTTGTGGATGTTTGTTTGACCAGGTAACTTCAGCGCATTTATGCAGAAGGAGATTTTTGAACAGCCAGAATCGGTTTTCAACACAATGAGAGGTCGGGTGAATTTTGAGACCAACACAGGTAACCCCCAGTCCGTGCCGTGGGCCAGTGTGCAGCCCCTGTGTCGGGCGACTCAGGCCGGCACTGACGTTGCGCGTGTGTCCTCCAGTGCTCCTGGGCGGCTTGAAGGACCACCTGAAGGAGATCAGACGATGCCGCCGGCTCATCGTGATTGGCTGTGGAACCAGCTACCACGCCGCCGTGGCCGTAAGTGCAACCCACCGGGGGCCCTCGACAGAGCCCGGGGGTCAGTATGGCCTGGGACAAGGTGCGTCCTAAATGCTGCCGCGTGTCTGGCCTTCCAAATTCGGTGCCGAGAGCCCGCGTGAGAGTTGGCACTGAGTCCTTCCTGTGCGATTCGGCCTGTGAGTGCCTAAAGCGCTCTCACCACCTGGACACAGAGATGTCATTTCACAGGCTGTCCCAGAAGCCCAGCTGCCCGTGTCCCCGTAGTGTCAGTGACTAACTTTAGTCCCCATTCTCGCTCGCTTCAGACGCGGCAAGTTTTGGAAGAACTGACCGAGCTGCCCGTGATGGTCGAGCTTGCTAGCGATTTCCTGGACAGGAACACTCCCGTGTTCAGGGATGACGTCTGCTTTTTCATAAGCCAGTCAGGTAAGGGTTACTGGTTTTCATTAGTTACCCTCTTGGTAACACGCCATGCACCTCCTTCCCTCCTTTATCCAGTGAAATTCTCTGCACACCAGCCATGTGCCACCCTCCCGTGCCAGGGTCATTTAAGCCTCAGAGCCATCAGTCACTGTCCATTTTATGGGGTGGGGGGCCATGTAGCTCCCTCCTCTTGCTGTTCCAAGTCCAAGACTTAAGGGACCCCTGGCCAAGGTCCTCATAAATGTGTTAGAGGAAAGTTCTTCAAAATTCTGCCGGTTGAGAATCACTTCAAGGACTGTGCTCACACAATCCAGCAGGAGCAGGGCGTGGAGAGACACTGCTCAGGTGTGCAGCCCAGGCCACCCTCAGCTTAGCAAACCTGCCAGGACACCATCCCAACACTAGACGTGGGCATCTGCCCTGGCCAGGCAGGGCAGAGGGTCAGGAGGTGATCCATGGCTCTACGCTTGGAGCCCCCGTGAGCACTAGGAGGATTTTTATAATAATTATGGAGAATTCCAAACCTTTATAGAAAAAGAGAGAATCCCATAAGGAATTGCCTAGGCTCGGCAGTTACGTTCCGGAATAATTCACCCATTTGTGTCATCATATCCACTTCAACCCTTCCCCTTCCATGGGTTATTTTGAAGTCAATATCAGACATCACATTTTTTCATCCATAAATACTTGAAAACATATCTCTAAATGATAAAAGAAAAAGTATGACCACAATGTCATTATCACAACTGAAGCATGAATAGCAATGCCCTGGTACCTTTTAATATCGCTTCATTTTTAACTTTTTGTTTTGATTGAAGTATACTCAGTCACAGTGTGTCAACTTCCAGTGTAAGCATCGTGTTTCAGTCATCCACGTACATACATATATTCATTTTCATATTCTTTTTCATTTCGAGCTTTTAATACATTTCCATCTCGGTGGCAAGCTGACAGAAACTCATGCAGACACACTCGCCACCTAGCGGACTGCCTCAGACCAGGCGCTGCCCTCGGGCTTCAGCCGTCACTGCTGCCTTTGCATTTACAGTCCCGCCAGAGCCTCAGAATGTGTCATGAATTGGTGGAAGCCACTGACCAAAGGACAGGGATGGGTTTAATGTGAAGATAATGCAGTGGCAGCTCCAGAGTGACTTCCTAAAAGGGGCTTCAAGTTTCATTTTGTTTAGCCCTTTATTTCAAATTTTTAAAAGCTATCAGAAACTGGTGAAGGGGCAGCTGATGAAGGCAGAGCCTCCCTGCTCCCCAGCCTTCGCCCCCAGTGACCCTGAGGGCGGGCCATGTGACACCCCAGTGTGCTGGGCACTGGTCTGAGGGGAGCTGGCGGTAGTAGCCGCAGCCTGCCCACAGAGCCGCTGGGACAGCATAGCCAAGAGCGGCGGCTGTGTGGACACCGAACGTGGAGCAAAAACGTTTGGTTTTATGGTCTGGATCGCGTTTACTTTAGCTTGAGTTCTTAGGATTTACAAACATAAGGAGTTTGTGCTGACTTTTGCATGAAAGTATTTAGGTAGCTTTATTATGAAAATAATTTGAGGCCACAACTGGGAGGCTGCAAGAAGCTGTTCTCCTTTGAAACAAAATCTGTCTGATGGGGGGAGGGTATAGCTCAGGGGCAGAGCACATGCGTAGCACACACAAAGTCCTAGGTTCAATCCCCAGTCCCTCCTCTAAATATAAATAAATATTAAAACCTAATTACCTCCCCCCCAATTTTTTTTTTAATTTTAAAAACAAAACAAAATCTGCACTATTTAGGGACATTCTTAAAAAACAACAATGTTAAATGCCAGCCCATCCTGAAAAAGGCAGTTCAGCGTCTGGGAAAGGGCACGGGGGGCTAGGCCTGCCCTGTCAGCCGCAGCTACTTGGCCTTGAGCAAATGAGACATCAATTTTCTCCGCCTCTGAGCACCCCATCCTCAAGGGAAAACGGGGGTGCCAGCCCCAATGGAGTTGTCATGAGAGTTCAGAGACAGTGAATGAGAGTGCTTGCCACATAAAAAGAAGCAAAATCTTGAATCTAAGAATCAACCAGAAAAATTGTTGAGCACGCATTTTCCTTTCTGAGCACTGTGTCTGGGCCCCAATTTCTGGCTAAGAAAAGTAAATGAGTTGGGGGTTGGGGGTGCGGGCTGGCCGAGCCAGCACCTGTGAGCTGAAAAGAAGGACATGTGTGGCAGGCGAGACTGCAGACACCCTCCTGGCGCTGCGTTACTGTAAGGACCGCCGGGCCCTGACCGTGGGCGTCACCAACACCGTGGGCAGCTCCATCTCCCGAGAGACTGACTGTGGCGTCCACATCAACGCGGGACCGGAGATCGGCGTGGCCAGCACCAAGGTAGAAGGAGCTGCGTGGCACCCGCGTGGGCGGGTGGACAGGAGGCCGAGAGGGAAGCCCAGAGACCTATCCGTCTTGGATGGTTGCCATGCACTTGTTCACCCTGGCTCTGCTGACGCCACCGTGTTGTCTGCAGGCTTACACCAGTCAGTTCATCTCTCTGGTGATGTTTGGTCTGATGATGTCCGAAGACCGTATTTCACTGCAAAACAGAAGGCGAGAGATTATCCATGGCCTGAGATCTCTACCTGGTACGTCCCAGAGCTACGCTTTGCTCATGATCAAATCCTGTGGACTGCTCCTGGCTGGTCTCTCCCTTGACTCTCTCCCATGCTGTTAATCACTCCCTCCTCCTCCCTAGAACTTCCTACTCACCACTGAGTCCCTGCAGCGGGCCCCACTAGGCCAAGAGTAAAGCCCACACTGGTCACCGAGCCCTGGAGGCCTGCATGCTGAGACCCTGCGCCTCTGACCTCATTGAGCTCCCTGCCCCTCCCTGAGCTGCCTCACTGACCTTCTGATCCTCAGCAGTGCCAAGCTCTTTCCACCACAGGGCCTTTGCCCTGGCTCTACCAAAACCCTCTTCCCCCAGCTCTACCTACGGCTGACAGCTCTCCCCTCTCCCCCTGAGTCTCAGCTCCAATGTCACCTCCTGGGACCCTCCCTGTCCACCCTAACAGAGGCCCTAATCCCTCGCCCAGCTGTCTATGAAATGTTAGTCCATTTCTTTTCTCTATAGCAAATGCCATGATTTGAAATGACCTGTTCATCTGTGTCCTGGCTTGTCTCCCCCAGCTGTGTCAGCTCAGTGAGCGCACAGCCCTGTCTGTCAGAGACACTCCTGGATGCCAGTGTCCAGCTAGGGCAGACATTCAGTCGGTGCTCAGGAAATACCCAAGAAGTTGCAAATGGCCCCCAAGCCTCTTCCTGGCCCAGACTGCTCCTTCACGGACTCATCAGACTCTTCCTTGCTGGGTCCTATCTGTCGCACCCAGTGAGCTTCAATGTCTGTTGCACCAAGTTGCGAGCTCTTTGAGGGGACCGTGGTTTCAATTATTCATTCACTCATTCATTCACTCACCAAACATGGATTCAGGACCAATTGTGTGCCCTGCCCTGTGGCCATCCTGGGACTGCCAAGATAAGCACCCACTCCTTTCCTTCAGTCACTTGCACCCCAGGGAAGAAGAGCTGGAGTTTCTTTGTGCAGTTTTGAGAGTGTGAAATGAAAGGACCTCACCCCGTGGCTCGCACGGAGCAAGCCCTGGGAGCAGGGGGTCACGGGGGTGGTCACAGGGCTGGGGGGCGGCCCCTCCCAGAGATGGAGCAGGCACTGGGACCTCCCTGAGAGCCAAGGGCAAACCCCAGAGAAGGCAGAGAAGGAAAGCCACCATCTAACCATACACAAGGTCTGGGGCTCTGAATATGACCACATGTTGAAAATGTATTGACAAGACAAGCATTCTTAACTAAGCCAGGTAATAACCCTGCCAAAACAGGACTCTATTCTGCTCAGTAGGCAGTTGCCAAGATGTGGTCCGCAGGTCCTGCGGGTCTACAGGACCCTTGCAGTCAAAACTGTCTTCCTAGTCGGGTGTTATTTATCATAAATAAGACGCTTCTACCTTTCTCACTGTGGACACTTGCAAAGGCAGTGGTGGCCGCTTCAAGGCAGAGGCACCACACTGTTCTTGTGACTGAGAGGCTAACAGCTTCACTTAAGAATGCCTTTGATGATGCAGTAAAATGCGCTAGTCTTATTAAACTGCAATGCTTTTTAATATTCTAAGTGGCAAATGGGAAATATTCAGAAAGGGCTCTGCTGCACCTTATAGCATGATGGTTGTTTCAGAGAAGAGCAGCCTGCGATTGAATAGCAAGCTGACTGGGGTGCTCGGCAGACATTTTCTCAAAAATGAACCAAGTTAGCCCAGTACTTTAAGGAAAACGACTGATGACAGTATTTGTTGCCAGTGATAAACTTCGAGCTTTCAACTGAAACTTGGGATTTTGGAAAACTCGTGTTGTCAGTATGAATCTGACCACTTCCCGGTACTCAGATATCTCGGGTGATTTTAACAGATTGTGGTGATTTTAGCAAAGATGATTTTTAAAAAATATTTTATGGTGAAATGTGTCCGTTTTTAGAAGATTTGCATACCTCAGTGAACCAGTATTTTGCAAATGGCCAATGCAATGTTACACAATTATGCACACGTAAAACACCCATTTAAGCAAGCGCAGGGTAGACTGACGCATTTTCATGTAAAAAGGTAGGAACCGTTTGTTGATATGATCTCAGATTCCACATTTGCAACTACCCTTTTAAGAAATTGCACTTCTTGGGTTTGGGGTAGTATCAAAGAACATTCACAGTTATTTGAAAAAGTGATTTAAATACTCCTCCGTTCTCCAGCTACAAATCTCTGTGTGGCCAGATTTTCTCTTTTCTTTGGAAAAGAACTAACTTACTTAATTTTTCATAAAATGACTAGACCAAAGTTACTATTTGGTCTTTGTCTTTTTAAGTTATTTAATTTCTTCTTCTTCTTCTTTTTTTGGATTCCAAAACCTTGTCTCACACACCATGACTGTTCTGTGTGACTCTTGTGTAATCCATGTGACTGGCTCTCCCCTCTGCTGTGTGCTTGACTCAGAGCTGATCAAGGAAGTGTTGTCCCTGGACGAGAAGATCCACGACCTGGCCCTGGAGCTCTACACGCAGAGGTCGCTCCTGGTCATGGGGCGGGGCTACAACTACGCCACGTGCCTGGAAGGAGCCCTGGTGAGCCCCCCTGCCCCGCCCCAGCCCCACCTCCACTGGCCCCTGCATGAGAAACCAGCAAGAAGGCGGGAAGGGCTTTGGGCTAGGGGAGGGGAGGGGAGGGTGCCGCTCACCCACCAGCTGTTCCAGCTGGCGGGACATGGTCTCCTGAGAAGAAACGGGCAGGGCACCCTCACCGGGGCCCCTGAGGTGCCCAGCAGCGCCAGGCTCCATCTAGGATAGCTCGTTCACACCTTAGGAGCACCCTCTGAGAAGCTGGCAGTTACTGTCCACGCTTTACATAGGAGGAAACTGAGCCTCCAAAAAATTCGTCTTGCTCAAGATTACATGATGGAAGTCATCAGCCTCAGATTCAAACTCAGGCGTTCATGTGGACTTTGCTTTTTTCCACTACCATAAGCAGTCTGCGTGGGAGGATTTGCAGACCAGAATAATGGGGTCAGGTCTCTGCAGAGTTTCCCTGTTGCTCCTCAAACTTCCAAGGGAAGCTGGGATCCTACAGGAATGATCCCCAGAGGCCCCACATTTTTTATATTGGTGACTGGCTGTTTTGTCTACGGTGGCAGTAGAGATCCACACCCACTTAGGAGAAAGCTGTTGGGGTAGGGGCATAGTGCCAGAACTGCAGGCCTACTTCAGAGGGTGGGCAGTGCTGTCCAGGGGCCCCAGCCCCTTAAAAACGATCTACTTGCTGTTTATGGATCAGAATGCTCAACCAAGGTACCTGGGAGACAATGTCACAGGTGAGGCAACACTTGGAACCCAGACATGAGCATCATCTGTGACCAAGCTTGGCTCCCCACCTCTCCCTGTGGGAGCAAGTGGCCACTGCCGCCCCACCATCCCCATTTGGAAGACAATGCTGGCTGCAGCGGGGGACACAAGTCAGAGAGTATTATGGGAGGTGAGGGTTGGGAGAGGGTGGAAGGTAAGAGTCGGGAGGGGCATGCAAGCCGTGATGACTGAAGTGAGCTCCAACTTCCACACCCTTCCAGTGGAGACTCTGGCCCCTGTCAGAGGCAGTGAGGGGCCAGCCACGCTGCTTCTCAGGGGCAGGGGAGGCAATGCCTGGGCGGGGCGCACTTTCAGTGCCCCACCCCCTTGCCTCTGCTGTCTGGTGGGGGATGTTCAGCTGCAGGCCCTGAGAATAGTGCTAAAAGATGTGTATTCAGTGTGTCTCCAAGTTCGTCTTTGGGGAAAGAAAGAAGCTTTTACGCTACTGCTGGCATAAGTCACTGGCGTCTCTGCAGTCACTTGGGTGCCAGCACTCTGGCGGGCTGCGGCATCCAGGGTGGAGCCGCACTCCTGACAATGTGTCCCTGACCCAAATAAATAGTTCTAGGCGGCCTGAGAAATGTTTTTTTCAACACTCTCACCAGCTCAATGTCATGGGTTTAATAGTAACCAAGAAAAAAAAAAAAGGATTTCCCTAAATGTAGGGGAAAACTCCATTAACAGCCCAGTGTGTGTGTGATTTTGCCTGATAGGTAAGTTGCAGCAACCTTTTGGAAGCTATTCATGGTCTAGAACTGGGGAAATGATTAATCAAATAATTGGACGAAGGCATAGAATACAAGACCATCATTACAAATTGTGACTGCGGAGAAGCCATCGGGCTGACTACATAGAGGGAAGAGGGAAGCTAGATTGACACTGATTTGTCCGTTCAAGGCGGGGCTGGCTGTGCCTCGGGGCTGGCCGTGCCTCGGGGCTGGCCTGGGGACACAGGCTGTGTGCTGGGCTTTGTGCATGCTCTGGACAGCAGCCAGCCCTCTCCCCTGGCCCTGGCCTTGCCAGCCACCCTCAGTGCTGTTGACCGCTCCATGCGTCCAACTGCCTTGTAACCCTCAGCTCCCTGCTTCCTAGAATCACCCCTCCTGGGCTCCCCTTCCTGCCCTCTTGCTGATACGCTCCAGTGCCTTGTCTGCCCAGTGTAACACTGACCCCATCTCCTGTTTCCCCAGAAAATTAAAGAGATAACCTACATGCACTCAGAAGGCATCCTGGCTGGGGAGCTGAAGCACGGGCCCCTGGCCCTGATTGATAAGCAGATGCCCGTCATCATGGTCATCATGAAGGATCCTTGCTTTGCCAAATGCCAGAACGCCCTGCAGCAGGTCACGGCCCGCCAGGTGAGGGCCCTCAGCGGTGCTGGGCCACTGCTCTCCTGTTCTCTTCCACACATGCCCCGCCCACCATCTACCAGCACCAGCGACGGGTCTTCCTGCCGGCGAGCAGGTGTGAGCACACACTCTCTCCTGGGCCCCCTCACGCAAGGTGCACATTCAGAAAGGAGCTGGCCAGCCTGCGGCCGTGCCCACAGAAGTTCCTCGGTGAGGCCCAGTGATCCAGGTTGCCCACAGGTGTCCTGAATCCCAGGCTTGGAGGCCAGAAGGGGTCTCCCGTGGAGGGCCCCGGGGCAGTTCTGATGCTGGCTTCCCAGAGTTAGATTTCACAGCGGAAGGGCACCATTGGCCACAAGACTGCCTCAGGTTTAATAATTCGCTAGAACAACTCGTAAAACACAGGCTGTTCCCTCTGCCTCGAACATTCTTCCCACAGATCTTTGGGGAGTTGGCCTCTCATCGTGCAGGTCTGATACGAATGTCTTCTTTGTAGCGAGTGTTTCCCAGGCCTCACCACTGTCTCCCAACTGTGTCATTTATTGTGTTTTATGGCTTATTTATGTTTCTGTTTTCCTGCCACTTGACTGTGAGCCCCCAGAGTAAGGAGTGGACGTGACCTGCTCTTTGCAGGGCGCACCGGAGCCCCTCGGCTAACGGGCACTGAGCGACGCAGCAGGAGAGTGACCACCCTCCCAGGGCAGCACAGGAGCCTCCCCCCAGAGCACCAGCGCTTTGTCCTTTACACCAACCGAACACATCCCCTCACCCGTAACTCCAGCAAAAACGAAAGGTCACTGCTGTCACTGCAGACTGTTGACCTCGGGAACTCTGCCGAGTGTGAGGGATCTGCGTCTTGTGATGGACCACGCTTCTCTGTTTCAGGGTCGCCCGATTATACTGTGCTCCAAGGACGACACCGAAAGCTCCAAGTTTGCGTACAAAACCATCGAGCTGCCCCACACCGTGGACTGCCTGCAGGGCATCCTGAGTGTGATTCCACTGCAGCTCCTTTCCTTCCACTTGGCTGTTCTCCGAGGATACGACGTACGTCTGCGAACCGTCCCCACCAGCAAAGGGGAAACACGTAACCCCGAGTTCCGCTTTGTTCTGAAACACTTACTCGGCAGAAATAGTCATTGGAGAAATGTTTTTACTTAAAATAACCCTTCTTAAAGTAACTTAGACCCCCTGAAAACAGGTGGGTGCTGAGAGATGTGTGAAGACCATTTTAAACCATAAGCTTCTCATCCAGAGACAGGGTTACCTAGCAAATGTAGTACTTTACTCCAGTCTTCCTTGTGCCTGAGAGTTTTTGAAGATTTTGTGAGATAATATCAAGGGTGAGGTTTTACATCTTCCTTTTTAATATATCACAATGTTTTCTCACCTCTTGCACTTGTAAGCCACATTGGATCATTGCACAATATTCCACTACCACGTTAAAACATAGATTTTAACAATGACTTCATCAGTAAATCAGTATTATCAGTAAATAATTCTACTATTTAAACTGTTTCTAAGTTTTTAGAATATCTGCATAAATAAAAACTGCAGTGAACATATCTGTACACACATCTTCCTCCCACATTTAAGATTTGTCCTCAGGCTAGCAAATCATTCAACATTTTGAGACCCCTAACATATATTGTCAACTTCTGTTCCAGAGACGAACTAATTTATGATCTCACCAGAAAGTGTGTGAGAACACACAATTCACTGGGCAAAGAAACAGAAGTTTTATTGCAATGTTATTTTGAGGAGCTTTAAGAAATACGTAACAGTACCAGGAACGATGGAGCTGATGCCTGTTGCTGGGTGTACCACCCAGCACTGACATTTGCTAACATTTTGTCTTCAGGGCAGGAACGTCGTCTGACCACTGTATCCTCACTTCCCAGAAGAGCATCTCGCGTATTAAGAGCATAATAAATACAGTTAGAATGAATATATATACATATTTTTCTTCTTTTTTTTTAACATTATTGTAAAATAAATACGACTCTGCAGATAAAGTTGAAGCCCACTTTATTATCCACTCCCAGACACATTTCCTTCCTGGCCCCCACCCTTAACCAATAAGTCTCATGGATTTAGTGCGTATCCTTCCAAGGAAAGTGAATCTTTCAAAGTACGAATTGAGCTAGCTGTTTTTAATAGCAGGAATCATATCCTTTTAATAGTGTTAACACTGCACAATGACACATACTGGGTGCCCCATAAATGTTTACTGTGTGAACTAAACTCTGTATAGTTTCTGGAGTAAGGAACCACTTTCAAGATGCAGGTCTCAAGGAGTCTGTGGTTGGAGGTGACCCAGAACGCCCGTCTTCGTGTCGTCAAGTGTTCTGATGGGCAGCTTTGCCAGACAGCGTGTTGCTGAGAGCTACATGGTCCTGAGCAGCTACTTTCTGTCGTTTTAGGTTGACTTCCCCAGAAATCTGGCCAAGTCTGTAACCGTGGAATAAGAACATGAGTGCGAGGAGACCATCGCCACCTTCAGTCTGTTTCAAGACCTGTCCCAAGTGACACAAAGTGGGAAGAAAAGCTGGCATTCTGCGTGTTCTGAGTAGATCCCAGTAGAGCTTGACAGCTTTGACGTGCCTTGTGCCCAAGTGCTTTGCTTACAGCAGATCATCTTTCTCTGTGTCCTGAAGTCGCCAGAGGAGAAGGGAATCTTTGTTTACACACGGGGACCAGAGCGAACTTTTCCACTCCCGTGCAATAGAGGTACAGCTCTCTTCAGAATAACTGTGAACCTTTTTTAACCAACACTAGTTAGTTTTAAAAGACAAAATATTTATAATGACAATTGTATAGCTTTTAAGTTATTTTTCTAGTATGTGGCTTTTCTGTAGCCAAGGTAACTCCCAGACCGTGCCCCCGGCTACCCAGTGTGCCCCGTCTCCAGGTAGAGGGCATTCATCTCAGATTTGAGCACCAGGCATCGCCCCTCTGGACTCCTTTCTCCTTTCCCATCCTCTCTTGACTGCTCCCGAGTCCCGTACCCTGACTTCGGGGAAGCCCTTCCCGCTATCTTCCTATGCCTCCTGTAAGTCCTGTCAGAATCTCAGCCTCCTTCAGCAGTGTCCTCTCATCTACAATCTCTCCGACTCTCCACCTGCTCTTTCGTCTGATCGTGGTTTTTATTACAGCCCAGGCAGCATTTCGGTCCCTGCTCCTGCCCACAGTAAAACGGCTTGGAAGAACCCATGCAAGAGGGCAGTTTCGAGTGAGCTCCCTTGCCCTCTGTTACAGGCGTGCACAATCAAAGTACTATGCAATTTTAAGACAATAAAGACAGTACAATTTTTCGGGGTGTTGTGTGGATTTTTGTTAATCTCATCCTTTTTGCCTTCGTGGCTTTTGAGGGCTCCTCAGAATAAGAACTCAATAGATCTGGTGGAAGCGGCCCCCTTTGTTGATAGCCACTGGCGTTGCCCCCACACCTGGGATCTCTGTGGTTCTAGGATGAGCATGAGGGCTGTTTTAACAGAATGGAACAAAATGCAGGAGGTCTGGGTCTCTGGGCTGAGAAGCCACCAAACAGCTGTTGGAGGGGCTGGGTCGCATGACGGTGCTTGAGATGGCTGCCCAGAGCCCGACAGCAACGTACAGGGATGACACTCAAATTGCACTTTTTTTCCCCCAATGAGCAATGGGTGCTCTATCTTCCTGCCTGATTGTATTAATCAAATCAATGACTATTAGTATTTTATTAATACAATCAGGCAGAGAGATAGAAAGCCAGAGACAAAGTTCTTATGGGGTTAGAATTTGGCTCCCTACGAAGGTGTTATCCCAGACAGCTCCCAGACATGGTGTCTTCATGACAACTAATTCGTGTGCATGGCTCTGGAACCCCATCAGATGTTTGTTCTGGGTGACCTGTAGGCTTTTCAGCAATTTCCCATCTTCTCCTGTGCTCTTTCCTGTATCACAGGCGTTGGAAACCTGGGACTATATTTCCAGGTTAAATTCAGCCAGTTAGAGGCTCTCCTGGGAGATAGGGAAGACAGTGTAGAAATCGTATTATTCACTGAGAAATCGTTTTGTATTTCTGCCCTGGCAGAGACAGGCAAGAGGTCCTGCTGTGGCGCTTAGCACCAAGGTGCCTGCTCAGGCGCTCCCTGAAACTCACCCATCACTCAGGGCTCCAGCCCGTGGCGGCCACTGGCAGAGGTTTCCTGCAGCTCCTCCAAAACCCCAATTCTGGAGAACTGGCAGGAACCCAGGCACAGTGGGGGCATTCCCTGACCTCCTCCCTCCTGCCCTTCTCACAAATTAATGAGGGTTATCACTCCTGCTGGAGATGCCTGCCCAGGTTTCCACCTTCCTGGCCAAACAATAGCCAATACAGCTTCTGAGGTTAGGAGACTACAAACTAGCCAGGGCGTTTGTATCTGAACAAAATCCAGGAAAACCCATTTCATCCTTAACCCCTGAGAGACCACCCTGATTTGTGCTAATTGTTCCCTTGCTTTTCTTTATTGCTCTACCTGTGCGTCTGCCCCAAACTGCACACCGCTTAGTCTTGACAACAGAGGGCAAGCACACTGTCCAAGGAGACACAGCCCCCACGGGGCAGAGGCTCCAGGAGGGGGTGGGCGGAGTCTTGGCTCATAGTCTGACTCCTGCTTCTCCGGGACTTGACAAGGCTCTTTCTGCGGAACTCATCAGCAAGGTCACAGCGAGTCTTGGGAAACAGGGTCCAGTCAGGCACCTGGTAAGACTGAGGTGCAGACCAGGTGCTGGACAAGCGGCAGAAGTCCAGTCAGTGACAGTAGGCTGCTCTGGACTTTCAGAGCCCACCGGGGCCTACCTCCCACTTTCAGGGAAAAGCTAAAAACTTCCGTGAGTGACATGTGTGTCCTCAGCAGAGCCTGAGGAGAGGGACCCTCATTAGCACGTGGTCAAGACAAGCCAAGTACTGGTGAGAATGTGAGCCAAGTTCTCCTGGGCGTTCTGTCCTGGGGTTAAGAAGATGGCTGGCTGGAAGCGGAGGTCTTGGTGATGACAGTCTGTGTGCTGGGCCACACAGCTACAGTGTGGCTCAGGTGCCTTTCACATCTGCCACGGAGCTGTAACCCCAGGGTCCCCCTTCACCTTCCTCCAGCGGACTCCTTCCTCCTTCCTCGTGCTGGGTCTCCTGCCTCCTGTCTCTTGTGTCTTCCTCTGAGTTTCCTTTTCTGTTTTGGTGGAGCACATCCTTCTTGAGTAAAGGTGCCAGGAGGCAAATGTTTTGAGAACTTGCATGCCTAGAAATTACTTTATTATTCACACTTGGTTGAGGGTTTGGTTAATTATGGAATTCTAGGTCAGATACAAACATTTCTTTCAGATTTGTAAAGGCAGTGCTCCCTTGTCTTGTTCCCAGCACTGCAGCTGAGGGGTCCAAAGTCACTCTGGGTGCCTTTGTCGGGGACCTCTTCATTTTCTTCTTCCTGTTCCCTGTGTTGTGAAACATCGCAATGAGGTCCCTTGGATTGCTTTTCATCTAGTGTTGATTTTGGTCTGGTGACCCATGCCCTTCAGATCTGGAAAATTTTCTTGAATGACTTTTATGTGGATTTCTTTTTCCATTTCTCTAGTCTCTCTATTATTCAGAGGTGAAGCTGCTAGAATGGCCTTGAGTTTCTTGTCTTTTCTATTGTTCATCTTGTCTTTTTGCTCTACTGATTGGGAGATTTCTTCAGTTTTCTCTCCCAAACTGTTTACTCCCAAGATTTTTCATTTCTGCCAACATTTCATTCCCAAGAGCTCTTTTTTTCTCTATAAACAAATATATGTATGTATATATGCTTTAAAATACATATAATATTTTAATTAACTAAAGTCTACGATTTATTCATATTTCCTTAGTTTGTATCTAATGCCCTTTTCCTACTCAAGGTCATCACATCACATATCTTCTTGGGCTCCGTGTGGCTGTGACAGTTTCTCAGACTTTGTTTGATCCCTTGACAGTTGTGAGGACTGTGGGTGGGTATTTTGTAGAACATCCCACATTTGTGTTTGTCTGATGCTTTCCTTGTTGTTAGACTGGTACTCTGTGTTTTCAGAAGGAAGATGCCAGAAGTAAAGTGCCAGTCTCATCACTTCGTATCAAGCGTACATACGATCAACCTGTCTCACTTATCACTGTCATGTCACCCGTGGTCACCTGACTTAGGCAGTGTTTGACAGGGACTCTGTTTCTTCCCCCTCTCCATACTGATTTCTCTGGAAGGAAGCCACTATGCCCATCCCACACGTAAAAGAGCAGGGAGCTATGCTTCACCTCCTTGAGAGGGGAGCATCCACATAAACTGGAGTTCAGTACAGATGTGCGTTCTTCCCTATTTATTTTTTCATTTGTTAAATTATTTATTTCAATTACTGTTGAACTCATGGACATTTATTTTATACTTTGAGTCATAGCCCAGTACTGTTACTTATTTTGTTGTTCAAACTGTTCCAACTACGGGCCCTGGGGGCTCCTTCAGTTGGCTCGTGTGACTCGCGTGTGTGTGTTGGGCTGGGGAGTGTACTTTGTAAGCACTCCCTTTCTTGCACTACGATTTGCTCTGGGCTCATCTTGTGCGTTCCCCGCCCCTGCCCTAGAATCAGCCATCGCGCCAAGGAGCCCTAGGCTTACTGATGCCGAGATTTACTGCCCAGCAATCTGGAAGGGGCCTTGTTGGGGGCTGGAGGTTAGGCCTTTCCTTTAGGCTTCAGGGCCGGTCAGACTTCCACAGAAGAGCTTTCCAGTCTCTTGCCTTTGAGCAAGGTGGAGATGCCTGGAGGAGGAGGGCTGAGGGCCCCTGTATTCAGCAATCAGTTATACAGCCAGGGGTCAACCCCATTTTCAGACAGCTCTCATGCCCTCAGCTGGGTCCCCAGCTCAGACGCCCTCCTTCTTATCACAAGAGAATAAAATCTAGACTTCTGTCTTTCCTAGTGGTTTCTGCCCTTCCTCCTGCCATGTCCTCACATGTGCCTGACTGCCCAGCCAGCAGTGGGAGCCTGCAGGGGGAGCCATCAGAGTCCTCCTCTGAGGGTTTTCAAGCTTAATTTGGGACAGAGGGCCACCTTCCTTGGGTGGTAGAAGAGCAGGTGACATGGGGAGAAGGAAGCTGGCACAGAAGAGTGGGAGGGGATGGGGGGCTTACCTCTGTCTTCCAAGGCCTCAGCCAGGCTCTCAAGCCAGCCCCACCTCTGCGCTCCCCCAGGAGGAAGTGCCCCCAAATTGTCCCCACTGGCTTAGGTGCAGCGTGGCTTTCTGTAACACACAACTGGAACAGTCTTGAGTGGGACCCTCCTCCCCCCAGCACATCTCTGGTCCTGGGGAGGGTTGGAGAGAAGACAGAGGAGGGGTTAAGGCAGTGGGGCCGGGAGGAAAGGAAAAGTGGGGAGGGGTGAAGGAGGCCAGCACGCCAACAGTCACACACTTCTTGCCTGTAAGGCCTGCACCCTAAGTTTGGTACTTCTCTCCTTGAGTCCTCGCAGCATCCCCATCAGGATGGGGTCCGCACTGACGCCCACTCCCCATGGAACTGAGGCTCAGAGAAGCTAACCCCCTGCCCGGAGAGCACAGCCAAGTGGAGAGCCTGACTGGAAGCCGGCTGAAGAGGCCCACGTGGGCTGGGAGGCTGGGAGGCTGGGCGGCTCGGCGGCTGTCCGCTGGCTGCAGCATCAAGCAGCCGAGTCTAGGGCAGGGCAGGGCAGCCAGACACAAGCCTCAGAGGGCCTCGCTAGAAGGCTGAGCCCCCGGGCACAAGTCCCCACTCTGAAAACAAAGCCGTGCTTTCCTCTCTGATTTCTCTTCCTTCACCCCCATCCCACCTCTAAGGCCTGACAATTCCACCTCGCAAATAGTTTTCCTTCACATCAAGTTTATTTTAGTATAATTTACATACACAAAAAGTGACCCTTTCTTAGATGCACAGTTCTGAGTTTTGACATATGACGACGACTCTAATTAAAATACATACAGAGTATACCCATCACCCCTCAAAATACACTAGTGGCCTCTGATAGTCGTTCCCCTCACCCCCATCTGACCTTTGGCAACCACTGATCTGACTTTGCTTTTCCCAGGTTGTCGTGTAAACGGAGTCACAGCAGGTGTAGTCTTGCATTTGGCTGTTTTCACTCACCATGTTTTCAAGTTTTTAGGGGGTGGGGGGAGAGTAATTCAGTTTATTTATACAATGGAATACTATTCAGCCATAAAAACCGACAACATAATGTCATTTGCTGCAACATGGATGTTCCTGGAGAATGTCATTCTATTTATCTATTTATTTTTAATGGAGGTACTGGGGATTGAAC